AGCAGGGAGCCCGATGCGTGACTCGATCCCGGGACTCCAGGATCATGACCTGAGCCGAAGGCAGTCGCTTAACCAACTGAGCCACCCAGGCGCCCCGCTAAGAACGTTTTTGCACAAGTTTTGGTATTGACTTATGTTTTTGATATTCTTGAGTACATACCTAGAGGTAAAATTACTGGGTCATGTGGTAACTCTGCATTTAACATTTTAGGAACTGCCAAACTGTTTTCTAAAGTGGATGCACAAATTTACAATCTCATCAGCAATATATGAGAGTTCCAATTTCTCCACATCATAGCCAACACTTCTTATTGTCTGTTATTTTTATTTTTTATTTTAGCTTAGTCTAATGGGTGTGAAACAGTATTTCACTGTAGTTTTGATTTGTACTTCTCTAATGACTAATGATGTTGTGAATCTTTTCATGTGCTTATCATCCATTTGTATATCTTTATTGGATAAATGTCTATTCAAATCCTTTGCCCATTCTAAAATTTGTCTTTCAATTATTGAGTTGTAAGATTTATTTACATATTATAGATACAAGTCTCTTATCAGATATATTGTTTGGAAATATTTCTCCCATTCTGTGGGCTGTCATTTCACTTTCATGATGATATACTTTGAAGCATAAAGGTTTTTAATTTTGATAAAATCTAATTTATCTATTTTTCTTTCCTAGCTTTTGCTTTTGAGTCATTTCTAAGAAATCATTGCCTAATAATCCAAGGTCACAAAGATTTACTCCTATGTTTTCTTCTAAGAATTTTATAATCTAAGTCACAATCCATTTTTTGTGTATAGTATGAGTGTATTCTTTTGCATGTGGTTATCAGGCATGGTGTCCATTGAAAAGATTATCCTTTCCTCGTTGATTTGTCATGGCACAGTTATCAAAAAATCAATTGACCACAACTATAAGGGTTTGGTTTTGGACTCTCAATTGTATGCCATTGAGCTATCTATTCATCCTCATACACATAACTCATTGTTTTGATTTCTGTAGCTTAGCTGTAAATTTTGAAATTGGGAAATGTGCATCCTTCAACTTTGCTCTTCTTTTTCGAGGTTTGTTTTTGCTATTCTGCATCTCTTAAATTTCCATCTGGATTTTAGGATCAGTGCATTAATTTCTGCAAAGAAGCCAGCTGCAATTTTGATAGAGATTGTGTTCAATCTGTCGATCAATTATTGCCATCTTAACAAAATTAAGTCTTCCAATCCATGACCATGGGATGTTTTTCCATTTATAGGTCTTCTTTAAATTCTTCTAATAATTTTCTGTGGTTTTAAGAACATAAGTCTTGCACTTCATCTGTTAAATTTATTCCAACGTATTTTATTGTTTTTGATATTTCAGTAGTCCCCCCTTCTTCATGGAGGATACATTCCAAGACCCCCAGTGGATTCTTGAAACAACAGATAGTAGCGAACCTTATGTATGCTATGCTTCTTCCTATTTATACATACCTATGATAAACTTATAAATAACCTATAAATTAGGCACAGTAAGAGATTAACAACTAATAACAAAACAATTATGAAAATATACTATAATAAAAATTATGTGAATGTGGTCTCTCTCTTTCTTTCTCAAAATATCTTTTTCTACTATACTCACCCTTCTACTTGTGACGACATGAGATGACAAAATGACTATGCGATGAGAAGTGAGGTGAATGACATAGGCATTATGAAATTTTCAAATCTTTTTCTGCATCTATTGAAATGACTCTATTGATATGGCATATTAGATTGATGATTTTCTTATGTTAAGCCAACCTTGCATTCTTAGGATAAATCCCACTTTGTCATGTGTATAATCCTTTTTATATGTTGTTGTATTCAGTTTGCTAAAATTTTATTGATGATTTTTTTATCTATATTCATAAGGGATATTGGCCTATAGTTTTCTTTTCTTGTGATGTTTTTGTCTGGTTTGGGTATCAAGATGAGACTGGCTTCAGGGCACCTGGCTTGCTTAGTAGGTACAGCATGTGACTCTTGATCTCAGGGTTTCGAGTTCAAGCCCCACATTGAGTGTAGAGATTACTTGAAAATAAAATCTTAAAAAAAAAAAGATGAGACTGGCCTCATAAAATGAGTTAGGAAGTGTCCCATTATCTTTTATTTTTTGGAAGAGTTTGTGAAGAACTGGTGTTAATTCTTCTTTCAATTAAATCTTCTTTAAATTGGTAAAATTCACCAGTGAAGCCACATGGGCCTCGGCTCTTCTTTGTGGGTAGTTTTTGATACTAATTCCATCTCTCGTTACAGGTCAATTCAGATTTTCTATTTCTTCTTGAGTCAGTTTTCAGTGGTTGTGTCTTCCTGAGAATTTGTTCATTTTATCTAAATTATCTAACTTGTTGGCATACAATTTTTCATATTATTCCTTTATAATCCTTTTTTCTTTCTGTAAGGCTAGTAGTGATGTCCTTTCTTTGAATCCTGATTTTAGTAATTTGAGTATTTTCTCTTTTTGTCTTGGCCAATATAGCTACAGATTCGACAATTTATTGATCTTTCCAAAGGCCCAACTTTTGGTGTCATTGATTTTCTCTATTGTTTATCTATTCTGTGTTTCATTTATTTCTGCTCTACTCTTTATTATTTCCTTTCTTCTGCTGCTTTGAGTTTAACTTACTCTTCTTTGTTTCATTTCTTAAGGTGGGATCTTAGATTATTGATTCAAGGTATTTCTTCTTATTTAATATTGGTGTTTGCAGCTACAAATTTCCTCCTGCTTTAGATGCATCCCATAAGTTCTAGTATGTTGTGTTTTCATTTTCATTCATCTTAAAATATTTTCTAAAACTTAACTCCAATAATATATTTTCTTTAACCCAGTATGCCTAATATTTTATCATTTCAAGAGGTTATCAATATGGAAAATATTAATGAGATATTTTCCATTCTTTTTTCATATTAAGACTTAGAAATCTAGTGTGTATTTTATATTTACAGCACATCTCAATTCAGATACTAAATTTTCATCAGAAATATTTTAGATGTACTAAGATTTCATGAAATTTATAGTTGAAAAATAAATTCACATATTGAAGTCATTCCAAATATACTTAAAAGTATACTAGTAACTAAATAGAGTGTCAGCTTTTAAATTTAAATAAATTAACATTAATAAGATTTAAAATTCAGTTCCTCAGTCACACTAGCCACATTTCAAGTGTTTAATAGACAAATGTGGGCTTGTGGATATTGTATTAGATAGCAGCCCTGGGGCTCTTTCTCCATGTGTTTTTGTTTGTTTTTTTTAACATCTAGGGGCACATGGGTAGCTCAGGTGGTGAAGCATCTGCCTTCAGCTCAGGTCATGATCCCAGGGCCCTGGGACCAAGCCCTGCATCGGGCTCCCTGCTCAACAGGGAGTCTGCTTCTCCCCCTCCCTCTGCCTACCACTCTGCCTACTTGTGCTCTCTCTCTGCCAAATAAATAAGTAAATCTTTTTAAAAAATAAATAAACATCTGAAGGATTTTTTTAAAAGATTTTATTTATTTATTTGTCAGAGAGAGAGAGCAAGAGTGAGAGAGAGCACAAGCAGGGGGAGTGGCAGACAGAGGGAGAAACAGGCTCCTCGCTGAGGAAGGAGCCTGATGCAGGACTCTATCCCAGGACCTGAGCCGAAGGCAGACACTTAGCTAACTGAGCCACCCAGGCATCCCACTTTCTTCATGTTTTAATCCATACAATACCCCTAAGAGGTAGATACTATTGTTCCCCATTTTACAATTGATGAGCTTATGCAAGATCAACCAATAAGATCAAGGAACTTACACAAGATCTCATGGCCAGGAAGGGACTGAACCAACACAAGCCCTGTTCCTGGCTGGGAAATGGGCCTTAGCAATGATCATCTCCTGCTGCAGAGACACAGGGTTGCCCCAAAAGCTTTTTGACCCAGAACCACAGAGCAGAAGCCTGAGCTTCCCTTAACTGCCAACCTCACAGAGCAGCTCATCCAGAAGCTCTGGAATTAGCTCTAGTGATCTAGGAAGCCTGAGGCCAATTCCCCACCATCTCCATCATTTTTCTCAGAACTCCAACCTTAGAGTCTGATGTCAATCAGAAAAGATGGTTAGAAGAAGCAATGTGCACCCACAAAGGTCTTGCCAACCTACCTCCCACCTTCTGTGGGGAGCCACTGAAATTCCTAAAAGGAGTTGTAGAGAAACACCCTCCTTTTGGCCCAGCAGAGTGGGAAACCACAGAAACAGCCACCACGTATCAAGTGCTTATTACCAGCCTGGCACTGCACCCAGTGCATGACACTCCTATGACAATCCTAGTAGACAAAAGAGAGTGTAACACATTCATTCAATGGAATATCACATGGCCCTTAAAGAGAATTAGAAAAGATGTCTACAATGTACTGTTAACTAAAAAAGTAAGTTTAAAAACAGGATGTATAGCATGGTCACCTTTGTGTGTGTTTGTGTATCATGCCAAACGGCTAATAGAGATGACCTCTTAGCATGGAGACTGGATGGGAAGAAATTTCACTGTGTATTTTACACATTTCTATATTGTCTATATTTGTTATGTTTCTATTTTAATTTTTTAAACTAATCTTAAAATTTTTTTAAGTTTTAAGTTTTTATATAAATTCCAGCTAGTTAGCAAACAGTGTAATATTAGTTTCAGGTATACAATTTAGTGATTCAACACTTAAACATACAACACCCAATGCTCATCACAAATGTACTCCTAAATACCCATCACCAATTGACCCCATCCTCCTACCCCACCTCCCCTCTGGCAACCATCAGTTTGTTCTCCATAATTAAGAGTCTATTTCTTGGTTTGTCTCTCTCTAAAGATATTTTTAAGGAAAAGAAGGTCATTGTATCATTTAATCTTCAAATAACACTGAACCAACTACCCACATTTTACAGATGAGAGAACTGAGGTTCAGAGAGCCAGCACGACTCATTTACTCCAGAACTAGGAGATGGCAGAGAGCCAGGAACGGAAGCCAGGACCGTCTGTTGATAGAGCTCTTTAAGGTAAGAGAGCAGCAGCAGCTCAGGAACCCTGGGCCCCCTCCCCCCAGCACATGCCCAGGTGGAGCCTGACCTTGAGGTCCAGGTGCAAGATGTAGTGTTGATGGAGGTAATGCACAGCCTGGCAGATCTGCTTGGTGAACAAGATCACAGCCAGTTCGGTCAGCTGGTACTTCTCCTCTGTGATCCGGTCAAAGAGTTCACCCCCATCCACACTGCCAGGGCAAAGGGAGAGGCAAACATTGGCCTAAGCGAGGTTCTCAGAGGACTTGTCCACTCTTGTCACCAAGAGTCAAAAGAGGCTGACCCAGGTAAGCCTGAGGGTGCCACTGACATCTGGGGTTTTATGGAGATCTTTGTTCTGGCCTGTTCCCAGCTCAGAGTGCAGGTGGTAAAAAGGAATTGATGGGCCAAGAGGAAGACTGGGGATTGTCTTCAGTGTTGATAATCCAGGCTCACTCTGGATACTCTGGGTCAAAGTTAGAAACTCATTTGCCTACGGGGGCCAATTAATACTTACATGGCAAGAACCCAAAATGGGCAAAAAAGACCAGATGTGAGACAAGTTTTCATAAAATACAGCCCTTAGTCTATCTTTGTTTTTTCACTCTTGGTACAGACATGACATGACAAACCCTACCAGAAGGAAAATAGCAACACAAGCACAGAAATAAACGGCCTCTGAGCCCCTGGCCTCAGCTTCAGGGTAGTTGGGAATGGTGGGGACTATGGCAAATGGGAGACTGGTTGCCCTGTCTACAAGGGTCAGCCAGTGGGAGCTCCAGCACACCATTTCCAGGTAGAAATGCAGGTCCAGCTAGATCTTTCACATTTTTAAGAAAAGCAAGATAGCTGGGTTTCAATATGAAATTTCTCAATTTCCAATTGTTAACACCTAAATCAAAATTATTAAAAATTGTGTAGGCCAAGCTGACATATATCTACAGGTCAGTCAGGTTTACTGCTGGTTTATGACAAATGGTTTTGTCCTCCATGCTCCATATTGGAGGTGATGACATTCCCTAGATATCCCAGAGAGGGGAAGGGAAAGGGAGAGTTTTGCCTAGAACCACAGCTCCAAGCCCCAGTCCTGAGTCCTGGCCCACAGAGAAGTCACTGCTCCATCTCCCAAGACACTCACTACTCCATGACGAGGGTAAAGCTGTTCTTGCTCTCAAAGGCGTCATAGAGCTGGATCAGGTTCACATGGCTGAGCTGGTTCATGATGTTGACCTCGTTCTTCACATCCTCCTTGCAGAGTCAGACGGGAGAGGAATTTCCAAGAAATGGGTCAGGAAGATGAGCCAGCTGCGCCTCCCAAGACACATGCATGCCCACAACCTCCTTTCCTGCTCTCACATCAGGTCTCCAACTCACCATCACCCAAACCAGGTTCTTACAACAAAAGGGACTTTAGTTCAAACCCCTCATTCCACAGATAGGAAACCTGAGGCCCAAGAAGGAAACCTGGAGGTCCAGAGGGACCCTGCCACCCAGGGTGTGAGGTGATATGCTGAGCAGAGTGTGGGAGTCATGGAAAAGAGGCAGGGAAGGTGGTAGGGTTCCTGATCAGCATGCAGGGGCCTGGGGGCCAAGAAGGAAGTACAGGAGCCTTGAACGTGGCCCAAGGTACTGGCTGGCCCAGGGCAGATGCCTCACCCGGTCCTTGGCACTCTTCACTTTGATGATCTTGGCTGCCAGCGAGAGGCCTGTGGACTTCTCCGTGCACCTGTGGACCTGGCCAAACCGGCCTCTGCAGAGACATGATGGTACGGCAGGCTGAGAGCCCAAGAGGCTCATCCCATACATGGTGGGCCATCCTGCACCCCGGGCTTTCTGGGCCTGCACTTCGTTCATAAACACCACGGGGGTTACCCTGCACCCTGCAGATACTGCAATCATCACCCCCACACCACATGGCTGCTCCTGAAACCTGGAGAAGACCTTCTTCACCCTATCACAAGTGGTCTGTGCTGCGCCCCAAGGGACCACCTCCCTCACTCCACACCACCCGGCCTGCCTACCACCTCCAGTGTATGGTTCCCGTGCCCATACTGTGCGGGCCTCCTGCACCCTATACTTCGTCCCACACCTTGTGGGCTCTCCTGCACTCACCCACTCTCTGTGGACTATCCAGTCACTAGCATGCTGTGACCTTGACCTCAGGGCCTTGGCTCCTGATCAACGCCCTCCTGAGAAGCATCCAGCAGCACGCCAGCTTGGGTCTCCAGCTGTCTCTGGCCCACCCCTCCTGCTCTTGCCCCTCATCAAGGCAGAAGCCCACCTACCCTCCCAAGACGTCATGCTGGCACACTGTGTAACCTGCTGAGGTCGAGGTCTCCTTGACACTCACCACCCGGTGTTCGAAGGGGGCTGGTGGGGCTGGGCTGTCATCTGTTTGGGAGACAACAGTCTGTGAGCCTCCTAAGCGCAGCCCGCACCTCTCAGCCACCCGCTTGGGTCAAGTGACAAGCCCCTCGCCCTTCCCAAGGATCACCTCATTGGAGTCACCCGTATGGCAGAGGAGTGAGCTGAATTTCAGAGAGGTGTGGTGACTGGCCCAACGGCACACAGTGAGTCAGTGACAGGTGGGATTCAAACCCAAGTCTCCTATCACCTACAGTGTACGCTTTGCAAGATGGAGAAGTTCTACCCAGTCTGTTCACTGAAGTTGAGAGGGGACCCAGGGTGGATCAGTGCAGCCAGCAGGAAACGGAAGGCACCCTTGAACAGGGTAATCAAGCAGAATTTAATGATGGACTATGTTTGAAGATACAGGCAGGGGGGCAGATACCAGCCAGGGCAGTGGGACAGGGAGGCGGCTGGAAAACAAACACCCTCCCCCCTCCACTTTCACCCTCTGATCTCCTCACAGAGCAAACAGCCCGCGAGGTAGCCCAGAGCAGGTCGGCTTCTGGGGGAGCGCCGGCAGTGGACAGTGGGCCTGGAGGGGAAACAGAGCACACCAGCACTTGGAAAGATAAAAATGGCCTAAGTTTTCGGGAAAAATCTTGCCCTTCAGCAGTTGTGTGAACCTAGAAATGTTGCATGAAATAAAGGAATAAAACAGAACACCAAACACGATGACTTAAACTGGTTTGCATATTAAGGGCTGGGAGACTCCGTGGCGGGAAGTCAGAGGCTGGGCTGGGTTTTTCTGGGCTTGTCACGGTTCACTCAGAGTTCCACCAACAACTCATGCCTCTGAAACCATATACCCAGTGCCGCGAAAACACGGCTATTTCCTCTTAGTTCATCTTAATAAGAGCAGCTTTTTGCTCCCCGAAGTAGACGTTTGCCTTGAGAGAATATTGCTCATTCCTTTTTGTATCTGCAAAGGCAAGCCCTGAGCCCCGGACCACAGAGCTAACGAGTATGGTTCCTGCTGCTGCTGTTCTTCTGGGACCCAGAAAGGTCTGAGTGTGTGTCACAGAGATCCCAAATCTAGCATCTGGCTTAACGTTTCCTCTGCTGTGTGCTGCTCTGGGTGGCTGTTATAGCAACGAGGCGTGCACGCGCCGTTCCCAAGCCGGGCAGCCAGGGCCAGATCCTGGCTGCGTCCACACTGTCTCTGTGGCCCTGAGCGTGGCCCTTGACCTCTCCTATGTCTCCATTCATCCCCACTCCACAAGCCCGTGAGGGTAAACGCCGGCACGGAGGCACCCGGCTCGGCACACAGACAGCCCACAGTCCACATGGCCTTTGTCACCACCGCGAGCCTCAGAAAGGCCTCCGGAGTCTCTGCCTGGTTTCAGCAGCGTTTCAGGAATGAAAGGAGGCCTTTGGCCACATGGGGACCAAGACGTACAGGTGGAGGGGAAGCAGCTGAGATGTCACTAAGACAGGGCAACTGCAGAGCCCAGAAGTGGCAAGGGGCCCCGGGGTGACTGCAGAACACACAGCCCTTCCTCAGGGACTTCCCGGAATTACAGGGCAGGAAATCCACAAAGGTGGCCTTCCTGCCACCACATGGGATGAGCGCTCAGACCAAGGAGGGTGTGACCCTAAGGGCTGGCGGAGTTGAGGGCGCTTGGGTCACAAGAACACAAGGATGCCCCCCACCACCACTGGGGCAGAGAGCAGGTCAGCAGCCCCCCACACCCTTCTGTACCCCGGGATGGGATCTCACTCACTGGGTGCGGCGGCCAATATTAACACCACTTAATAGATGTTCTTTTTAGCAGAAGCCTTCTCTGGCTGGATCCAGAATGACACCCATGGTGGAGAGCCCAGGCAGGCTGGTGGCTTGAGAAACCCACCCAGCTGGGACGCATGGGCTCCTTCCTCCCCTACTGCCACAGTCACCCCCAAACTCAGCCTGCTGCAGCTGCAGGCCTTGCTCTCCAGCCCCAGCAGGCACTGGCAGGCCGTTCCAAGTCACGGACTCCCCCCAGACCCACATTCTCTCTCCCTGGAAGCTGCAGGAAAGCCCCCTGGGAGAAGGCCCCCAACCCCGCTCACCCTGGGGCACCAGCAATGGGTTCACTTACCCAGAACCACGCTGCCAGGCTCCTCTCCAGGGGGCGTCCTCCTTCCTGCTCCATCTCTGCCCGCGCCCCCAGCTGTGCGGTTCTCCCCAGGCTCAGCGTTTCCTGCACCCTCGCCTTTGTCCTGCCGCCAGCCCGGGCCTCCGGCATCGGCTCCTTTGTCCCTCCTGGCCCCGCTTGGTCCTGTGGCCGACTCGGCCCCAGGCCCCTGCTTCTCCTCTGCCTTTGCTCCCTCATGGCTGCTCCGTTTCCGCAGTGGGGAAACCTTGCCGGCTTCTTTCGGGATCTGTTTTTCTGACTTGGTTGCAGGGGCCTGGGGCACGGGCCCAGGTGGGTCCTGCTCACCTGGATGGGCAGCTGCCAGAGCCTCCACAGGGGGTGTGGGTCTGAGGCCGCCCCCTCGTGTCACAAGCAGCTCCCCGGGAGTGTCCGTCTCCTGCACATGGATGGAGATCCTGGGGCAGAGAGAAAACACGGCCTTAAAAGCAAAGACTCGCGAGTCACCACAGACCTGGGTTCAAATGCCTGCTGCTGCCATTCAAGGATCACGGCCTATTGGCCTCCGTTTCTCATCCAGAAAAAGGGACCTTGCGGTTATTATAATAGTAAGGTAGATTGTGTTTAGAACCAGCAGACCCCAACCCCTGACTACCTCTGCCCAGACAGGACACCAGGGAGAGGCTGGGTTCAGTGAGATGGTACCATCCGCTCTGAGAACTCCAGTGGATGAGCGGCCAAGGATGGCTGAAGTACCTGAGATGGACACCGGCAGGCACCTGATGCCCCCAAAGGCCTTAGAAACCTGCTTCTGCCCCAGGAGGCAGGAGACCTGGGCTCTCCTCTCTAGGCCTCAGTCTCCCTTTCAGTTAAATGAAGAAAGGGTGAGCCAAGTCAAATATCCCACTGGAAACCCCAGGTCAGACATATTTATTGAAATCAGACAACTGCGGGGCGCCTGGGTGGCTCAGTCGGTTAAACATCCAACTCTTGCTTTTAGCTCAGGTCATGATCTCAGGGTTGTGGGATCAAGGCCCATGTGAGGCTCCCTTGCTCAGTGGGGAGTCTGTTTGAAATACTCTCCCTCTGCCCCTGCCCGCACTCTCTCTCTCTCCCTCCCAGATAAATAAAAAAAATATTTAAAAAAAAATCAGGCAACTGCTCATAGAGACTGGACTCCTCGTTCCCCTTGGACACGTAGGTCTGGCTGTGCTGGGCATGTCTGCATAGCTGAGAAGCAGCTCCCCCTCCTGACAGACCCTGCTGCACCCTGGCAATGCCACTGGGCCCACTTTGCGTCCATCTCCATTACCCAGACCTTGCGACATCAGGTTTGGGACCCCAGCTAGAGGTCAGGAAGGCCCTCTGAGCCCTGACGACGTTCAGAGGGAAGGACCTGACCCCGAGAGCCATGACCCCCAAGGGTTCAACCCTCCCTCTCAGAGTTGCCCTGCTCTGACTACTCTTCACAACCCCACTGCTGGGGGTCTATGTGTGTAGGGGTGGGGTGAGGAGGTGAGTGTCTGGCATGGACTGAGTCTCAGGAGGGAGCCCAGCAGCCTCCTCTCTGGTCTTAGCTCTGGACGACGTTGCTGGACAACTTTGGACAAGGCCGGGATCAGCTCCCTCTTCTGTCAAACAGAGACATTGATACCTCACAGAAGTGCTGAGAGTCCACGGAGCGGAGAAAGCCCCAGGGGTCCCAAAATGAGGCTCAAGAGGGTGCAGCTACTGTGGAAAACAGGATGGCGGTTCCTCAAAAATTTAAAAATAGGACTACCTTATGACCCAGCAATTTCACTTCTTTTTTTTTTTTTAAAGATTTTATTTATTTATTTGACAGAGAGAGACACAGCGAGAGAGGGAACACAAGCAGGGGGAGTGGGAGAGGGAGAAGCAGGCCTCCCACGGAGCAGGGAGCAGGGAGCCCGATGCAGGACTCGATTCCAGGACCCTGGGATCATGACCTGAGCTGAAGGCGGATGCTTAACAACTGAGCCACCCAGGCGCCCAGCAATTTCACTTCTTAAAACATATCCAAAAGAATTTAAAACAGAGTGTCAAAGAGATATTTGTACACCTGTGTTCATAGCAGCATTATTCACAGCAACCAAATGTGGTAGCACCCCAAGTGTCCATCGAGGATGAATGGATAAGCAAAATGTATAATATCCATACAAAGGAATATTGTTTGATCTTAAAGAGGAAGGAAATCCTGTTACATGCTGCTACCTGGGTGAACCTCGAGGACGTTATGCTAAGTGAAATAAGCCAGTCACAAAAAAAACTGATTCCACATGTATAATTCCACTTATATTCAGTACCTACAGTAGTCAAATTCAGAGACAGAAAGTGCAATGGTGGTGGCCATGATCTGGGGGGTGGGCAAAATGGGAGTTGTTTGATGGTTACAGAGTTTCAGATTTGCAAGATGGAAATGTTCTGGAGATCTGTGTCACAACAACCTGAATATACTTAACACTCCGGCATTGTACGCTTACAGATGGTTCAGTTGGTAAATGTTACGTGTTTTTTCACCATAATGAAAAAAAGTGAGGCTTTTCCCCAGCAGTTGAAGGCCCAGCCCCCTCCCCAAGCTGCAGCGGGTCCTCTGAAAGCTGCGCCCGTTCCTGGATGCACCTGACTCGGTACAAGGCTGCCCACAGCCAGCCTCGGGCGGGAGGCAGCTGAAGACCCCCCAGCCCCGTGCCCCTCGGGAGGAGTGAGTGTGGGTTGGTGATGACAGGGGAGGGTGCGAAGGGTGGCATCCGAGCCTGGCCCGGGCCTTGTCTCCACTGAGGGCCACGGGAACTGCAGGAAGCCCGTTGCTGGAAGAGCATCCAGGTGGTCAGGTGGCCAGGTGATAAAGCCAAGAGTCACTGCTGTCCCACTTGGTCTTCACAGCGAGCAGGGCATGGGATGACCCCAACGCACTGCCATGCATTTGCATGGCGCTGAGTGCCCAAGGCTTTCCCTCCGGCTGCCCCAGGCTGATCAATTACAGCCCTGTGTTCCTCCAGCTCCAGCTGGGGCCTCAGCATCCTCTGTACGGGCAGCCACTGCCCATCAGAGCCGGTGCTTGAGTGTAAACTTGTTTTCTCAAAATATACTCAGGTGCTAGCTGGGGAAGGGCAGGGAGTGATCTCTCCACTTCCTGAGCCCCAAGGCAGGTCTAGTGTGCCTGAAATTCAGCTCAGGGCTGAAACGGACATAGAGACCTTTCCCCTCATGCAGAATCTTTTGGGGGCCCTTAGCAAGTTCATGGAAAGTCCACCCCGTCCCTAGATTCCATATTTACAGCGCTGGCCAGGATCCAGGGAAGCGTGCCAGGAATCCCTCCTTTTAGCTGGTTAAGATCTCCCACAGGCTCTCATTTCCTTCCAGAACAAAGGCAGACCAACGATCTGGGCTTTCTGCTGGTCACCATAGCACACAGACACCAGCTCCCCTCCCTGCACCAGGCCTAGGGAAGGGAGGGGGCTCTGTTACAGAAAAGGACAACCTGGGGCAGGTGCAGGAGGGCACCAGACCCCCTTAAGACAGGGAAGCACAACACACTTCAGTGGGCCGCCCTGGGGGCCGGGATGCACTGTTCCACAGGGCTGGGAACACAGGGCTAGGGAGAGCGTGGCAGCCAGCAGCTTCTGGCTCTTCATTATCCTGCACTGTGTCTGCTGAGGGCCGAGGGCTGGTCCTGATGCGGTGTTCTGAGGACACAACCCCACCTTCAGGACCCCAAGTATAATCATCCTGAAGGCCCCGCTGGATTGACTCAGCCCATGCCAACCTCCCTCTGAATCCCCATCCTTCTCTCTCCAACTTAGTATTTGGGACCTAATTAAATGCTGACCTGAGGAGGCAGGATGGTGCAGTGGTTAGGAGCAGATTCTGGAGCCCAACAACCTGGATTCAGATTTCAACTTTGTGAATCCCTGGCTGTGTGGCCCTGGGCACTCTCAGCCTGTTTCCTCATCTCCACACTCTCGCCTCCCGGGGATGTTGTGAGAACACAGCGGGATGGTGTCTGTGGAAGGCGTGGCCGATGCCGGCACCTAGAATTGTGCTGT